TATGCTTGTGGTTTCGCTGGAATTGACGTAATATGCAAAACGGCAAGTTTATGCTTATACAAATTGAATACAAATTCAATTTTGGGAAGTTTAAATTTTATTTTACACACTAATTTTATATTTATGGATTTTCCAAAGCTTTAACTTTAAGAGCGCATGAAAAGAAATCTAATTTTTACAGGTACATCTATATTTACATATATATTTGTATCTCCATTAAGTATTTGAAAAAATGTGCATTAAACTTTTGTATGTAAGCGATAAAGGCCACAACTTTCGATCTGAAACATTCATTGGATATTTATAAAATATTAAAGAAGCTTAAGTATTGGAATATTTCACATATAAATCGCATGGTCATTTTGTTCAGTGCATTTTATTTCCTGTTATGATGTTGTCTACATTTCTGTTTTGATTCGGTTTGGTTCATGAAGACATCGTCTTCACATGCTCCAGCGACCGCAACACGCAACCAGCTATCACTCCCCTCAACTGTGGCAGCAACCGCAGGCACAGAAAAAATAAAAAAATTCACAAAACTGAGAAAAATAAATGCAAGGCAAAAGTTTTTCTTAATGCTGCCTCTTGTTGTTGCTGTTTGTTGTGTGTACATGTCTATATATCTGTGTGTGTTTGTGTATGTGAATATATTTTTCTGTTTGCTTTGTTTTGGTTGCATTTGCCAGACTTTTGACTTGTGCTTGCATCTCTGTGGGCACACAGAGGCAAATGAACCAGCAGGACGACAACCTCAAAAGTCAAATCACCCACCTCAGTTGCCCTTACCCCTTATCCCTCACCCCTTAACCCACACCCCTCAGCAACAGCCCTAGACAGAAGTGCTAGTGAGCTGTGTGCACTTGCATTTATGAATGTTTAAGCACTCGAGAATCTACAGCAAAGTTACACCAAAGGAGCAACAGCAGCACAATTGAAAAATTCATAAAGCCACCAGAGAAATACATGCATAAATGAGTGGTGAGCGGGGAGTGAAGGGCAGCAGAGAGAGAGAGAGAGAGAGAGAGAGAGAGAGAGACACCACCCACCAAGTTTTGTGGGTGTGTGTGTGTGAATTGAAACTGTAATGGCGGCTAATTATGACAAGTCGTACACAATCTCAAGTGCAACAGAATGTTGCACCTTCATTTCTTAAATGCAAAGTGAATCTTGGAAAATTTGAGACATTTTCAAGTTGGAAGCCAACATCCATAAACTTTCACATCTTAGCAACGATTTGACTAGCAAATGTTTGTCTGAGCTTTGCAGTCTCCAGTAAAGTAAACAAACATGTGGATAATATCTTAAGCCTGTAAGAAACTTACATCGTAAACATATAAGGGCTGACACTGTAAATTTATAATGAATGAACAACAAGCGAAAAATGATGTTAGCAAATTCGGTTCATGAATTAAAATTGTTGACTACCAACAAGTCCATTTCTGGGTAGCAAATGCTTCAACATGCTGAAGTATAAATAATGTAATTTAAATTAATTATTGTTATTATAATACTGTAATTTGAAACAGAGTGAAATTTATCAAATAAAATAAAAAATTAATAACATAGAATGTGAGAATCGAGCAGGTCGACTAGAAGATACCCTAAAGCACAGCTGATATTTGTTTGATTTCAATATAAAAAATCAAATTTGGGTTTCTTAATGACATTTTTACTGCTGATCTGTAATTTATTAAGGTAAATTATATAACAATTGAAAGGCTGTCTTTACAATTGTATCGGAAATCGATTTGTATCGATATGCAGAAAATTGTGGTAGTTCGCTATGAAATTAATCTGCGAATTATATGTCAGAACTTGTCTGACGAATTTAAGGTCTCTAAATATATAATCTCTCAGATCGGCGTCATTATGAATGAATGCTCTAGAATATAGATATATATATATACATATTTATGAACTTTCATACTTTCTCTGATTGTCTCATACAACTTCACAACTCTATTATTCTAATGTTGTATATTTTTAACGGCTTCCGGGTATACAAAAAATTGAAACGATTCAGCCTTACTAAAATATATAATTATTAAATATTTTAGCCGCTTTTTAGCCTTTGGCTAACAGCTGTTATTTGCATTTACAAATCAGTTAAAAATCACATTCAAAATGATTCATTTCGCCTGCAGCTTGTTGTTATAAAACGCTAAGTGAAAACTGTTTCTGTTTACAGGCAAAAGAATACATCAAAAAAAAAAAAAAAAACGTTGACCTAACAAATCACTTTATTTATCTCTTTAATACACCGATTTTTCCTCATGTTCTCTGTTTTCTTTGTTTACAACGCGTAAAAACCACTTAAATAAAGCAAATGAAAACTATATTAAAATGCATATAAAGCTTACATAAGCACAATTACGCGCTTGCCGCAAGAGAAAGGTTTCGCTGGTAACGGCTCCTGTGGCAGGGTCAGCAAACGCTTATAATTATTTGCATAAAAATATGCAAATCGTGAACCAAGTCAGCCAACGATAAAGTCCGAATGTAATTCACAGTTTCACATTTGCTTTCCTATTCAGAAGAGTATTCCCACATTCAAATTTTCTTCTTTTTTTGCATGCAATGCTCGACTGCGGCATACTCTGCTAAAGTGATTACCATTAAAAGAAGATCAACAATATAAGTTTAGTCACTCGATTTACACTTATCGAAATCATCGAATTCGTAGTCCCCCAGTGTGTGTAGCACAGTAATTTTAATATTATAAAATGCTTTTCGAATCATTTGTGATTTTTATAATTATTTCAATCATTTCCATTCAAATCGTTAAATGAGGCTTGGTGTTATGGTCATGTTTGTACTGTCAATTTTTGATTTTATTTGACGATTAAATTTAAATTTTTTTATTTAAATTTTTGTTCTATCCATATTAAAATGAGGTCTTAACTTTCAAATGGAATAAAATTGCTGTTGGTTGCTGTTGGCAGACAAATGTTTCAACATTTGTATATATTGCAACATTTTGCTCAGCAGCAATTTTTTTTTTTTGTTGCGTGGCATGTGGCAGCAACAATCGCCATGTTAATTACAATAATACAGAAAGCGCTATGTTGAATCAGAACAGGCCAAAAAACACAAAGTTAAAAACCATATAAAAAAAAAATATTTTGCGGGTCACAATTGAAAACGTTGAAATCCCTACCCCGCACTCCTTCGCCCTTCCCTCCCACCAACCCTCTTCCAACCACACAAAACACACAGTAGATTGAGCTATTTGAGCTTTTTGTGGCAGTGTAAAAAAAAGCACAATATGAAATGCATCTGTGTTTAGTCCGTCTATTTTCTTGCCCCGCATCTGAACAATGAAAAAATAGATGTATACATAAATATATATATACATATATGTATATATATATATATAAATTGCACACATAAAACAGATTTGCGCAAACAAAATACATGCGGGAGTTGGAGGGGGATGCTGACGAAAGGGGGTCTAAAAAACTGCAAGCAGACAAATTAAAACTAAGCGCTTCATGGACAAACAACTATCCCAAAGGGGGTAAAGGAGAGGCAACAGAGTAGAGAGAGACAGAGAGAGAGAGAGAGAGAGAGACAGAGAAAGAGAGAGGGCGAACAGGGGGCGGCACTCGAGCTAATGGCAGCCACTCGACCATTTACTCCATTTAGTTGTAAACAAATACACACACACACACACACATACTTGCAGACTCACAATGCTGCTCAAACTGTCAATCAACCACAAAATGTTGGGCTGCAATCTGCAAAAGCACTGAACACAATTGAAACATTTAATTTCCAAATACAATTTGGACACGTTGCAAAAAACCCACTTCTCGACATTTTTAGTAAATATTTGAAGCAAAGAAGATTATCATTAAATATGAAATATATTCAGTCTTCAAACACACAAAAATATACAATTGTATCTGAGCAAAAGACGGGGAGTTAAAGTGGAAGACTCTTGTTGATACATGTTGCACACATTTGCAATCACTTTTATTAAGACCTTTGATGTTTACAGATTAATAAAAATTGAAATTCAACAATTGAACTATAATGCAAAATATCTTAAAGATACAAAACTCGACGCCAATTCATAACTTTTAGCGGCACTAGAAACGGAATCGAAATCCGTTTCGATTCGACACCCTGATTCGATAATCAAGTAACCTGGCCAACAGTTTATTTTACCTCAACCCTCATAAATATGAGCATATGAAATGTAAATGTAATTGAGTCAATATCCATTTGTGGAGCATAAACATTCGATTGCATTTTCTCCACACATATATCGCTCTTGCTATTCCTAGATTCCAAAGCTGCCTCGCATGTGTGTGTGGGTATGCATTATTTATTTGGTGGCTAGTGATTTACAATTTCTACAATTTCAACAGTATTTTTTTTTTCTTTTTTTTGAATTTTTGTATTGATTGCAGCAACTCGCGACTGTTGCGTCTGATAATAAAATAAATCAAATCCGTTCACCCAAAAACTGCCCGCAGCAAATACATTTGCTCTCTCTCTCACTGTCTCTCTCTCACTGTCTCGCTCTCTCTCTCTCTCTCTCTCTCCCTCTCTCTCTCTCTCTCTCTCTCTCTCTCTCTCTCGTTCTCTCTATGAGTGTCTGTGTGGAGTTTATGTAGTTATTTCTATGTGCATGGCATGGTTTTTGTTGTCCCTCTTGTTTGCTCATGTGTTGGGTTAAACTATACGCCGTATTTTTAATTAAATGTGAGCTGCAAATTTGCACAACTAAATTGCATTGCCATGTTATACCCATTTGCTGCTCTCCCTCCCTCTCTTTCTTATCTGTGTCGCCTACACTGACAGAAAGAGGCATCAATTGTTAGCTATCTATGTGGCACATACTTTTAATGGAGTATAATTATTTTAAGAATGTTTTTTTTTGCTTTTCATGTTTGACTTTTAACTTTCATATTGAAAAGTTGAAAGAAAAAGAGGAACTTGACTAAACCCATTTTTACTCATAATTTCTCATGGATTTTTTTTATCTTTTGCAGGATGGCTGTGGCTTTGCCTGTTGGCTGATGGGGGATCAGCAGATGAATCGCTGGACACACGCGAAGGCGTCGATGTGGTGCTCAAGTGCCGTTTCACCGAGCATTATGATTCAACTGATTTCACCTTCTACTGGGCCCGCTGGACCTGCTGCCCCACATTGTTCGAGAACGTCGCCATTGGCGATGTGCAGCTCAACTCGAATTATCGGTAAGTTCTGCTGTGCGTCTCTTGTCCACTCTGACTGTCCGTCCGTCTGCCTGTCTGCCTGTCTGCTTGTTTTCTGTGTGCAATGGTCTGATAAATCACAGGCAACCTCATAAATTCAACAACTGATGGCCTGTCAATAAGGCAGGCGAAAAGTTAAAGGCCGCACTCGAAGTGGGTTGGGTTGGGTTGGGTTGGAATGAATGGATGGATGGAGTCAACTGCACATTTATTTAATTGCCTGAATGACATCGACACTCAAGGCCCAAGCAAATGGGAATTATGGGCCCAAGGCTGCTCAACCCTCCCCCTACCGCGTCGCATGTTTATTGATAAAAGATGAAAGATGCGAAAGTTTCGCGATGCGTTCAGCTGTTAAATTTATTAAAATTGCCAATGCCTGGGCTGGAGGAGAAGGATGACAAGGACGATATCGACATCGACATCGACATCGACATCGGCCCATCAGCGAGATGCCCTCGTTTTGTGTACATCATTAAATGTTCATCTGGCAGGCGATAATTCATAGCCCAGCCACGCCCACAACAGCAGCAGAGGAAGACAGAGAGAGAGAGAGAGAGAGAAGGAGACGGAGACGGAATGATAGATCCGCATGCAGTGTAAACAAGAGGATAGCTCAACATACACTCCCCTTCCCCCCCGAGAGGTTGGTTGGGTTGGTTGGCTGGTTGCTATAAGGGGATATATAAGTGTTGGCAGCACAAAACGTGGCCATCACACGCAGCTGTGCCCGACGCCAGTGTTTCGAAAGCAAAAGCGAAATTATTATTATTATTATACCATTCTGTTAAAACAATGGCAAAAATACGCAAAATAAATTGTTCTACGAAACTGACCAGCAAAGCATAACAAGACAAAATAAACCGATTAAATAAAAGATGGAGCTCGATTTGAATAATGTTATCATAACTGGACAAAATGTGCAATAATCTTAATTTAATCTAGAAAATTAAACGAGAGCTAAAAAAGTGTATTTCTACAAAAATATTTACTTATAATTTAATCATTTTGCTTAGCTTTTACTTAATTCTATCATATAAATTGCTTTATTTATTCAATATTACATTTTAAAAAAAATAAATAAATAAAAAATATATTTCTAAATATTATACTTTGTTAATTTTTCTAAAATATATATATATATTTATTTCGATTCCGGCTTAGGTTTTCGGTTAAGGATTTTTAATCCGGTTTGATACCCTAACGTATTTAAATGGACAGCACTTTCTTTTTATTCAAATAATATGGCAATTTGTGCCACTGTTTATAATTGGCAACACATTGCGTATACGCAACTTGATTAAAGCGCCGAAAGCTCGTCAAGCGTTGGGCGGCCTTTAAAAATGGTTGGGTTTGTTTGTTGGCAAATGTGGCGAATGTTCTTTCTACTGAATATTTGCTGGCATTGCTCCATTGCCTCACCTCCCATGCTCTCTGGCTGCCGCCTGCCTATTTATTTATTAATCATAATAATCATTTTGGAGCGCATTTTGAGCGTGAAAAACATTCAATGCGGCGTAGGCCGCAAATTGTTTGGAAAATGTTCTGTTCAACAGCGAACACGCCCACGCATAAAGAGACAAAAGAGACAAACACACAGACAGACAGACACGCCCAACCATATTGGCCAGATGATATACATAATATATGGGCCAGACCAGCAACAACATCAGCAGCAACAAGCAGCAGCCGCACGACGACTACAGAACATGCAAAAACATTGCCAAACAGATCGGCAACAAAAGAAAATTATTGTAAAATTTGAGCTAATCGCGCGTTAAACAATTTGCTTGATTTATGTGGGCTTAGAGATGTGGTCTAATGGCGTTGCCACAAAGCAACAACAGCAATAACAACAAAAACTGTAAATGCCATTAGCAGCAACAAAAAGCCAGCAACAGCCGTGTGGCATATCAGACCAGGCAGATACCCTATATAATAGTTTCTCTTGAGTTGGTATGCATCTTTAGTTAATAAGTGAAAATCTATTTATAAAAGTATGTCTTAAATCTTTATTAAGTGAATCTATGTCAAGCTGAACAATTTAGGCATATTCTGCCTGAAAGTCAACACTTTTTCAAGCTCCAATTAAAGCAAACGATATTATTAGTCCTTATAGTACAATAACCGAACCCAATTGCAATCAATCCTTGTCTGCAAAGCTGAATTCACATGTGTTTTTCAAAATAAATGCATCAAAAATATACGAAAATTCCATTGAGTATTTCCAAAGCACTAATATATATTTATATAGAAAGGAGTCTCAAAAGTCTCTCTCAATATATACAGGGCATTTAAAGTGACAGGCAAAACTGCCAAAACCAAAATTTTATTGATGACTTTTCAGCATTTTGTGCTCGATTTCTTTATGGCTTGCTGACCAAATGTTGGTCAAATATTGGCAACAAAATGTAATTGATTTGAACTGTGAACTATGGTCAAACATGTCTGCACAAAAATCGAACAATTCAAACAACAGAAAGTGTTGAGACTTAAAGCAAGTTCAACATATTGGTATAGATAAGAATGTGAAGAAATTTTCACGTTTACTGATTAGTTACTTTCATTTTTGAGTGCACAAAGTGCAAAGCAATTAGCTTAAAACATTATCACTTGACAGCTGACCTCAAATGAAAATTTCTAATGATAATTTCAGTTCACAGTTGCCCCCCGCCTTGCCGCCCTGCCACCACCACCTAATGCTAGATTCAATGAGCGTAGACTCGTTAACTGCTGTTTGGGCTGTTAAAACTGATTGAGGATGATAGATGCCAAGCTGGATGGCTGGATGGCTGGCTGAATGGCTAAAATGTTGACCCCAAAATGCTTCACCCCTGATTGGGGTGGCCATTATACTGTTTTGCAGTTTTGGTCCTCTTTACAAAAATTGTCATCTCATGACATGAAATTTGCTTTAACAAACGCATTCACTCACAGCCCCATTCACGGCAGCACTTCACCTCTCCAGCTGTCAGATCCCATTCAGTTCTATGCTATTTTATTTTTGTATGTATTTTCTTCGTTTTTTTTTTTGTGTTTTTTCAATGATATTGGAATTTTGTGTTGTGAGAAGTGCCCGCCAACATTTCGGAAACAATCAAAAAAACATTTTCGTTTTTTTCTTCGAGCAGATAAAAATTCCACAAACAGCAACAGCAATAACAACAACAAAGAGGCCTTTTCAATTGCGTTAGAAGAAATTTAATATGAAACTCATGTTGTACTTCTTTGCAACATATCGATTTTTAATTTTGATTTCTTGAAAGACGTTCGTTTGTTCGCCTGGGGGTACGTCTTTGTTGTGGTTGCCACTGAAATTCGCTTCTTATTCCACCAAAATAAGAACACCAAGAGTTTGGGCAGCCTGCCAAGCAGCTAGCACAACATATATGTGGTTGGGTGGGGTAGGAGGAACTGGGTGTTGGGTGGTGGCTGTTTGGAGGAGGGTTGGGCAGATAGACTCTGCGTAACATCACTCGCAAGCAAATTTGCTAGGATCGCATTGATTTTTTACGCTGCTGTAAAATATTCACTTATCCATGGGCAATTATGATTCTCGCATCAAGTTTGTTACAAAAAAGAATTAAGTTATAAGAGCTTCCGCTTAAGTACAAGTATATATAAGCCAATATAAAATTGAATATACATTTTAATAATATAGAGCAATATCTGAAAGATAATGCAGGGCAGGTGGCTAAGATTGGTGCCTTCCTAAGAACCACTTTGCTCAAATCCCAGAAGACTTTAACAATCGGGGAGGCATACAAATTACAGCAATTTCATGCGTCTCATGAATTATTTAGCGAGAAGTCTGCCAAGTGGGTTATCTTCCTAGAAAGTTTAATTTTAATACTGCCAACAGAGACTTATACTAACGACTATGGAGATATGTATTTAGGTATTTATATATTACTTATATAGTCCTTAAACAAAAAATAATCTGCATTTCTTGTGATAGCCTCTTCAAAAAAAAAACTATATATTCATTTTAATAATTACACATTAAGCATTTGATTACATTATTCTGTCAAATGATAAGCATTTTGAGAGAGTCGAAATATTCATAAATTGTTTGGCTTCTGTTGTGCAATTTATCTATTATCTTAATGATAATAATAATAATTACTTTTTGGCAGTAACAGAATAATTTTTTAATATGTTCTGCTTTTTGTGCAAGGTAAAATAATTAGATTTAAACCATGTTGTGAAAGTTTTGCAATAACAAATTCAATCCGACATATTTTTCAGGCAAGAGCACATTAAATTCGTTGTTTCTTTGGCCAATAGATGTTTTGTAACCAGTTTCTGGTTGTTTTGCATATCATTTTATTGTTGTTATTATTGTTGTTGTTGCTGCCGTTGCTGCTGTTGCTTGTTTTGTAGAATGCCAGGCCAAGCTGACACATTTGCCCATTTTTGTGATGGATGTGCGCAATAATTTTTTGCTATTTATGCAAAAGTCGGCGCTGTTATCAAACAGAATCGAACAGCAACCGAAGAGTAAAGGCAATATCCCATCGCATTCAAAAAGTAAAACGAAAAAACATAAAAAAGGAAGCAAGAAGAAAGACGTGTGTAACCCATACCTCATTTGCAGTAGCTCTTTCTTATGCCAATGCGGGTCAACATTTAACCTTTACCTTAACACACACACAAGCACACAAACACACACACACTTGGAGAGAGGCAAATGCATAGATCAAAATATGTATGGCAAAATGGCAACACGTGTTGGTTCCGATTCGTTTGACTTGTGCGCACACACACGCACACACACACACCCTCACACACACACACACCAGAGCACACACACACACCAGAGCACACACATGTCGTGACAGCGCACAGTGCATAAATATTATGTATATTCATACACTGAGCAAAAAGTTACAGCAAATGCATGCAATAATTATAAATTGCTGCTCAAATTGAAGTGCACTTAAAAGTTGTATTCAAATAATTAATTGAAACAAGTTTTTACA